GCAAGTGAAATAAAACAATTATTATTTAGGTTATGATTTGGTTTTAACTGTTTTTATCAGGGACAAGTTCCTTAACTGGGTTTTAAAATGTTTTTTTTTTTTTTTTTTAAAAAGAGGGAGGGAGAAGGGGAGAGGGAGAAAGAAGAAGGAACCTAATTAGGATTTCTTTTTTTTTTTATAAATCACTAGTGTAACATTATCACACAAATTAGCAACTATGCACCCAAAAGGCTTTTTGTTCATCTCTCTCTGACCTCCCTAGAAGCTTTTTTCTTTCCTTCCCTGAAAGTATCACCAGTGTCCTTTCTCTTTTTTCACTCAGGCTTATCCTTGCTTTCATGGCTTTCTTTGTGCTCTTGAGCCCTGTAAACTCTACCCTGATGAAGACACAACCACAACAATCTTTTAATCAATGTACATGACACTTTCTCCCATTCTAGAAGAGTTTGCTCCCAGTACTCAACTGGGCAGCATACCTCGAGCCTACTTTTGCTCTAACTTTCAAATACATCTGTAAATTATCATCTCCAAATTTCATTTGTAAGTTATATCTAAAATTCAGGAAAATCAGAGAACGTTACCTAAAAAAAAAAAACACTCTGGGCAGAGAAGCAGCCATCAAAACACATACATCTCATATTTGGCATATTGCTCCTGCTTTGTATGTTCTATCTACAAAATGGAGCTGAGTAAGTACTCAGCAACAGAAGGGACTGTCAAGAAGAAAATTACAGCAAAAATTAATACTCACAGCCATAATTAACTCAAAAGGGTGTTTATACACCCGTACGGGGGACTGGTACTTCTGCACCATCGCTGCAGTTAGTGAGGCCAACTCAAACCTGAAAAAGAAATTTTTAAAACCATCTGTCAAACGTAGGAAGCCATTTTCAATTTCCTCAGACAATTACTCCGTGCGTGGTACCCCGCGAGCAATTCCACAGGAAACCCTTCACAATTCCTTGACAACTTTTTTTAAGACCCAAGGGGGCCTTGAAAAGCTATATATATATATATATTTGTCAGAAATGACTGATCATTTCTTCCAAACACGACATAAAATTAGCACATTTTCAGGCCACTTTTAGTAACGAATCTTTAACGTGGTTTATGACTCTTTTGTCAGGATGGTGAGACTTCCTGTGCTGCTGAGAACCAAACACTGACACATCCCAGCGACAGGCACAGAAGCATTTCCCAGTCCCCCAGCACTGCATGTGGGCTGCCCTGCTCAGAGCTCATGCCGAACTGGGACTGGGTTTTAAAAAAAAAATAAATAAGTAAGTACAGAAAACACAAAAAGAGGTTAAGAAATAAATGGTAAAAATTCTTGTTTTCAGAAAGAGAGAAAAAAACCGGATCACTACAGCACAGCGATACAAAGCACTCCTTCATAATCGCCAAACACAATTAATTAAAACTTCCGGGAGAGAAACTTAAGAGAGAGCTGGGGAAAAAAACCAAATTGGACGAAACTGCAAAAATTCCACTATACGGCCAGAAAAAATGTCACTGGCAACACAGCGAGGAGTTATTCCAAAGGCTTCGTGTGTGCTTTCCCCGGCTTGACCCGAACTCTCTCGACTGCAATTACGTTTATTGAAAAATCCTGGCAGCAGCACCCGCAGATGAGCCGCGGGCTGCGAGCCAGCGTCATTTTGGAGAGAAATGGGTTTGTTAGAGTAAGTTCGCTTTACTTTTCTGTCCTTAACGCGCTCTCACGTTCCTGCAGCGCCGCGGGAGCGACACCGGCCCCGGAGCGGGGCTCGGCGGCTCCTCGGACACGGCAGGAGCCAACAAACAACCCCCGGAGCCGCGGGAAAGTTCTCCGACATCCCATTCCAGAGCGCAATTTACCCATGACTGCCCTGCATTTTACAAAAAAAACCCCACCTGAATCAGCGCAAACAGCCGCGAGCCCTCTGTTAATCCTCGTACAAAAAAAAGAGTTACACAACAAAGAAACTCCGCGTTTCCTCCCGCCGCGGCGCAGCCGGGACACCCCGCGAAGGGATGGGGGGACACCTCTGACAGCCTCGCGGTGTCCCGGGGGGATACGGGGCACTCCGGGACGGGATGGAGGGGACATCTGTGACAGCCCCGCGCGGCTCCGGAGGGATGCGGGACACGCCGGGAAGCGATGGGGGGACACCTGTGACAGCCCCGCGGTGTCCCGGGGGACGCGGAACACCCCGGGAAGGGATGGAGGGACATCTGTGACCGCCCCGCGCTGCTCCAGGGGGATAGGAGGGATGCGGGACACGCCGCGAGGGGATGGGAAGGGAGGGGGGGGACACACCTGTGACAGCCCCGCGGTGTCCCAGGAATGCGGAACACTCTGGGAAGGGACAGGAAGGGATGAGAGGGACACCTGTGACAGCCCCGTGTCGTCCCCGAGGGATGCGGCGGATGCGAGACACGCCGGGAGGAGACAGGAAAGGATGAGGGGGGACACCAGTGACATGCCCCGCGGGATGCGGGACACCCCGAGAGGGGACAAGAAGGGACTAGGGGGGGGAGCACCTGTGACAGCCCCTGCGGGATCCAGGACACTCCGGGAGGGGACAGGACGGGATGGGGGGACACCTGTGACATCCCCGCGCTGTCCGGGGTCCAGCCAGGCCGGGAGCGCAAGCGGCCGCGGCGGCCCGCCGTGACCCGCCCGAGGACGCGACCCGCCCCACCACCACCATCACCATCATCACCACAATCAGCATCCCCACCGCGACCACCACCCACACCCGCCGCCCGCCACGGGCAGCGCCGGCCGCTCCCGGGGGCTCGCCGCGGGCAGCGCTGAGAGAGCCGGCAGGCAGCGGGGCGGACAATGGAAACTTGCCGCGGAGGCACGGCGGCGGCGGGGCTGGAGGGCAGGCAGGCAGGGCAGGGCAGGCTGCGCGCTGGCAGTCCGCGCGCGCTTACCGCTCGCTCGGTCGGCGCTTCCGTCCCCTATGCCGCCGGGGGGAGCGCCGGGGGGGGCGCGGATCCGCCGCCGTCGTTCGCGGTGCCGGGCGGGGGCGGCGCGCGCGCCTGCGCGCTGCCGGGAGGCGGGGGGGCTGGGGCGGGAGCGGCGGCGCGGCATGCGCGGCGCTGCCCGAGAGCGTGAGGGGACAGCCGGCCCTGGAATCGTATGGTGGTCGGGCGGTGAAAGGGGTTTAAAACTCACCCTGTTCCACCCCCTGCCACGGGCAGGGACGCCTTCCGCTAAACCGGGTTGCTCCATGCCCCCTCCAGCCTGGCCTTGAGCGCTTCCGGGGATCGCCCAGCCACTGCCTCACCACGCTCATTGTTAAAAATTTCTTCCTCGCAAATAACCTAAATCTCTCCTCTTTCGGCTTAACACAGTTCCGTTTTGCCCTGTCACTATCTGCCCTTGTAAAAAGTCGCTCTCCGTCTTTTTACGAGACGCCCTTAGGCGCTGGGAGAGGTTCTGAGGTCTCTGCGGAGCCTTCCCTTCCCCAGGCTGAACACCCCCAGCCCTCCCAGCCTGGCTCAGCACCCTCACAGGGAAAAGCTTCCCAATATCCAATCTAACCCTGCTCTTTGTCAGTGTGAAGCCATTCCCCCTTGTCCTGTCGCTACGTGCCCTGGTAAATAGTCTCCTTCCATGTTTCTTGTGGGCTCCCTTCAGGTACAGCGTGAAGCTGTCAGGGGAGGTTTAGGTTGGATATCAGGAACAGGTTTCTCACCTAGACGGTCGTTGAGCACTGGAACAGGGTCCCCAGGGCACTGGTCACAGCACCAAGCCTGTCTCAGTTCAAGAAGCTTTTGGACAATGCTCTCAGGCACATGGTGGGGTTGTTGGGGTGTCCTGTGTGGGGCCAGGAGATGGACTCAATGATCCTGATGGGTCCCTCCCAACTCAGCGTATTCTGTGATTCTATGATCCTATACTAGAAGGCTGTGACTAGGTCACCCCGAAGCCTTCTCTTCTCTAGGCTGAACAGTCCCAACTCTCCCAGCTTTTCCTCACAGCAAAGCTGCTCCATCCCTCTGATCATCTTGGTGCCTCCTCAGGACTCGCTCCAACACCTCCATGTCCTTCCCATGCTGGGACCCCAGAGCTGGAGGCAGCTCTGCAGGTGGGGTCTCAACAGAGGACCTCTCACACCTCCTCACACACACAGCCACACACACCCCCTGAGTGCAGGAGGACACAGGGAGCAGGACGTGGTACACATAGTAATGTTTTGTACAGTACCAGAGTATCATAAACTGTGTTAAAATAAGGACTTCAAAGTTAGGGCCCCGTGCCTCTGCTCCCTTCAACAGCAGTATCAATGTGTTTTGTTTACCCAAAACATCTTTTATTAATGGCTCACTCCCTCTGAAAATAAATCTACTAAAATTCAGAGTCATTATCCTGGCCTTTAGGTGCAATTCTTTCTTTAGGAAAGCTGAATTTTTAATTACTATTAACAAGGGTTTCAGCTACTGTTCTTACACAAACCTTGTGTCTATTAAAGTTAGCCAAGCACAGTCTATTGCCTGATCTGAAACTAGTCCTTACAAAAACTTGTTTAATGTGTTGAGAAATTGTTCCTCTGAATCCTGTTTCTGTTGTGGCACTTGGCCAGTTGCCTTCATGTAGCTGAACTTAACTAGTCAATCTAGTAACGCTGTAATTAGCTGTAGTTATCTGATTGATATTCCCTGCCATTATGCCTATAACATCCTTTTCCTGCTCTGAAAGCCTGAGATATAATCCTACTGGCATAGCAGGGCGAGGAATTTACGCCCACTCAGATTCCTCTTTGTTCATAACACTTCTCTCTTTAGATTCTGGGAAACGTTTTAGTTCTTACTGACTGCCACTATTCTCCTTAACCAAATGGCCATGTAACCAGAAAAGCTTTATTTGGACTTTTAAAGATATTTGGTGTTTATTGATAGAGTAAAAGCACATAAGTCCACAATTTAATGTCTAAATCAATCATGGTAAGTGTCTCAGCTGTTTTCTGCAGAAACAATAATCTTAGCAAGACAGACAAAGAAAAGGAAAGTAATATGGTTTTAAAATTTTCTATTATCATTTATATCCCTGCTACATCTCATATGAAAGCTCTAGCCATGCGTCGTTAGCAGGAATATAAAGAATAAACGTGTGGGTGAAATGTTTCAGGAAAGCTGTGAGGCATGCGGGAGACTGAAGCCCGGAGGACACAGACTGAAAGTGCAAACTGTTCAATATTTTCAGCAAACTAGGAATGCAGATTGCTAGATAGGAAGGGAAGTTTGGCCCTAGGGAGGTTATGCAAGGTCAGTCAGTTCCCTCCATCTGAGCACTTTTCCTGGATTGCATTCCTTCACGTTAGGAACTTTGGTTATACAACCCAAAGCAATTGTTATCTTGTTTCAGGCAATGTTGCCATGGAAATTAATGAGAACTATTGGTAGTCAAACCTTTGAAATTAATAATATCTAACTTAAAGTGCAGTTGCCTGGGAGCAGTGCAGGGCTGACATATACCAAGAAAAGATTCAAAATGCCTCTCGGTTGTGCTGGAATGTAGTTCAAGCCCCTGGAATTTCAGCAGGCAGGAACTTGCTCTGGTTTCTTTTGTTTGTGTCCCAGGGACTGAAGAAAAGTGAAGCAAATCTGCCTTCTTACTGTCCAGCAGGTCTGATCTTCAGAGCTGTTGTAGTAAAGAAAAGAGAATGTCAGCACTTGTTGACAAGAGAGAACGTGTTCATTCAAGATCTTGCTGCTATGCCGTATGTTTATTAAAATATGTGGAAAAGGGGTGAGAGTTTGAGCTCAGGCAAACTGAAGGCTTCAAGAGCCATTCCCTAACAAATCAATCCCATCTGAGTTGGCGGAATTTTTTATGTACCACTGGCTACACTGAAATAAATACCTCCTTCCTGAACCTTTAAAACCATGAAAAAGGTCCCAAATTATACCATTCCCAGCTAAAATAAGCATGATGACTGACAAACAGCTAATGGGACAGAGCTGTGCCCTGGGGACATTGATTCTGGTTTACACAGAGTTATTATTTAATGCATCACGGGTACTTCACCAGGTGTCACCATTTTTTCTTTCCCTTGTCAGTCTAGGGAGACAGAACCTGGTGGTGCGGGATGTGAGGAGGTGTGAATTCCTTCACTCCTTTACTCTTAAAACTGACTGTGACACCCAAGTTCAGCCCTCTAGACACAGACCTGACTGTGCTCATCTGTGACAGCTTTACATATTTTTGAATGCTCTCTGGACAGCCCATACTGGGAAAACGATACACAGGAGGAGAAATTCCTCTGAAGATCTTAAAGGCCTTTGTAATGGCAGGGAAGACACTAATAATCCCAATATGCAGGTATAAATATTGAGGCTCACAAAATGCTGTAGAAAAAGTCATGCAGCAAGTCAGTATAAGAAAGGAGACCAGAGCTCTTCTCTTCATGGGTGGTTCCCTTATTCCCAAACACTCCTGCCTTTTAGCTCTGTGGTAATTTTCCACTATTCGCAAGATTGGGAAAAGGGTGAAAATATCTCCAGGCTGGCCTCTGTTCAGAGAGGGGATGTTAATGTACGATACCTAGAAGGTGTTAAACTCTTGTGCTGAGATTTTTATTCAGAATTAAACCAGCCTTAGTTTGCTGTAGTTCAGTGCCCCATAAGTGAAGATCTATTAACTTTATACCACTGCTCGATTTATCTGTACTTTCCCATGTGTCCCGCTGTAGAAAAGCCTTAAATGACCTTGTAAACTGAAGCCCTTTATGTTTTGATGCCACAAACAGCCAGAAAACATGTTTTTTCCTCTCTTCTCAAGTGACTGGTAGGAAAATTGAATTGTAGGCTGGGAGCTGGCCAGGGACACCAGCTGCCAGCGCTCGGAGTCCAGCAGCTGACATCAGAGCACAGGCACCGTTGACATAGCAAAGGTTACGCAGACAGACGTTAGCAAATAGGCCCCAAGTCCTGATTCATGAAATAGATGAATCAGGATGAGCGTGTGGCACACATCCCAGCCCTTAGCCACACGCCCTCCCTGCAAAGCCTGTAACCATCCAAGGCTCCCTGCCTGGAGTTCAGTGTCCCTGCTCACGAGCCGTGCGGTGCCAAAACAAAAGTGAGCAGGTGGTGCAGGGGGGGCTGCTCGTACAGAAATAATTAAAGCATGAGGAGCTGGAGCAGATATTCCAACACACATTCCAATCCCGTGCTGGATATTTGTAACACCTAAAAGGCTGATGGCACCGTCTTCTCAGGGGAGCACGAGGAGGGGGAGACACCCCATGGGGCTTCCACATGATTATTTTATCCCTCAGACACTGGAGGGGCAAAATACCAAATGGAATTCCCCTCTCCCTCCGTGACCTTTTTTCCAGTCTAAAGGGAAAAACACTTGGATGATAACTTATTTGCTGGGGAATTTTATCGTTGTTGAAGATGCCAAGCTCATAATACAGGGAGCTGGAGTTGTGAGCAAGGAAGGGTTCATTGGCCTGTTGGGAACGCCCAGCTTTTCTAATTGCCTTTGGACACAGCCCTGTGTCTATGTGCCACTGCCTGGGAGCTTCCTGGTACCTACCTCATAGGGAAGAGCCCGTTTCCAGTCGTCCCTTCAAGTGACTTAAAGGACTGCCAGGATCTGATCAGTCAATCCTTAGAAAAACAGCAGTCTCAGCCAAGAGGCTCAGCAAATGCAACGAGGAGTAAATTTCCTATAAAAATAAAAGCAAAGGCTGTTTACCATCCCTCCTTTTAATGAGTCTGACAGTACAAATACTCTCAGCTACTTCAACAAGCACTGAGTCAAGCTGTTGGGTCACTCTCCAGGTAGAGACTTTGTCCCTGTTTGCCTCTAACATGTTGATAATTACTATTTTTTTTTTTTAATACGAGAGGAATAATAAGAAATAACTACTTATTATTAAAAGTATTGCACAAATCCAGCTCTTTTTAAAGGACACACTGACTCCACCAGTGCTGGCTCTGCACCCTGTGGGCAAACACAGCACCCTTCAGTGGGGCTCCATCAGGACAAGCCTCCTTTGTGGCTGCTGCTCCGCCAGCATCACAGTGCCTGTATCTGTTCAGCTTATTCCTGTGCCTGGAGGAAAATGAGGCATTATGAGGCACTTGCACACCAAAATTACTACCAGTATAGCTATTTCAGGGTTTATTTTTGAAATCACACTGTCTGTGGATCAGGCCTGTGCTGGCAGCTTTCATCCAAGCATGTTTTAGAACTTGAGAAACACGAGTTTCATGATGCTGTTTGCAGCCCCTAAAAACGCTGCTTATCTTCTCCGATCAGCATCATTCTTTGCATGAATTCCGGCCCTGTATCCAAGGCAATCTCATTATTTGCTGTACACGCTCAATCTGCTGGCTAATTTCTTTTCCCTTCTCATGGGGGAGGAACATTCCTTGTGCCTCCACAGGCGAGCCTGTGTTTGGGGGATTAAAGAAAGCCAGCAAGACGCATGAAAAATGTCACCCACTCGCGGCGGCGGCGGCGGCCTGAATGGGAGCACAGCTCAGAGACAGATGTTCCTTCCGATTGAATTGTCTGTGTCACTGGTTCCAGCGGGTTCAGCGCTCCAGAGAGGTGTGAGGCAGAGGGCATGGCTGAGCAGAAGGCTGGCTGTGTCCAGGGAGCTGGCACGTTGCAGGCAGCAGCTCTGCTGATTTTGACACGGCTGCAGCATTAATCTGTCTCGGCCTCGAGCACCACTGGCTGTCTGTCCTGGAATTAATTTGGCTAATGTACCGCGTGACGGAAAGCCACGTTTGCAATCTCTTTGCTAGGCAAGGCTGAACAGATTGATAGCATGCTCTGTCCCTGGGTAAGTGAACTGGTAGCAGAGCTCCACTGAAGGGACACAACCTGAGAGTTTGGCTCCATCTCCCTAGGGATGAGAGGTGAGATGTTTAACACCTCCTGGCTCTGGTAGCTGTCAGGGGGAGCCTGAGCAGACAGGAAAGAGGCGGAGTTGCCTTTTGAGTCAAGCACTGGTTCTGCAACCCCAGTGCAAGTGGGAGGTGTCGGAGTTTTTTCTGAGGGCAGGTTCCAATATCAGTCTCAAAATAACTTGGTTTGACGAGGGGGATGGTCTCCAGCACAGGAAGCCTATTTGCAGTTGTGGTTTCCAGCTGGTGGCTACAGACTAATGTGTGACCACTAAGTATTTGACATTAGCTAATGAACAGCTGTTTGATTTGCTTTTGGTCACAGCCAGGCTGAGTCTGAATTAAACAAGAGCCCAGTGATGGAAAGGGCCAATATGCCCCAGAACAACTGCCTGGACAGAGACTGGAGACAAGCCCAGTGCTTTGTTTGTGCCCCCTCCCCAAGACCCCCTGTGCGCCTGAGCCACTTCTGTGGGGAGCAAGAAAGGGGAGGAATCTTGAGCATCCAGGAGGAGGCAAGAGGCAGGTGAATATGGCAGTGGGGAGGGTCAAGGCAGCACCTGCCCATCAGCAGCAAGACCCCAGGCTCCAGAAACCAGCAGGTTCACCCAGAGATCACATCCAGCTCAGGAAGCAGAGGAGGGTGCACAATAGACAGAATGACATGAGAGAGAGACCATTGCCTATCCACCAGAGCCCCAGCTAAATGAATTTTATATCTCAATCAGTAGGAAAGGACTTTTTGAGGGAGCCTGGGCACCCCTTTACCACCACTGTGAGATGCACTGAGTGAGCAGCTGTGTGCCTTCCCTTCCCATCACTGCTGTGGCCACATCCAGCACTGGCACATTCAGCAACACACAGAGAACCAGAGGTGATTGCAAAAAAGCCATTAGTACGTGGATGTAAACCACAGCACGGCACTGCTCAGACTAACCCAGAAGGAGGTTTAAATGTAGGCAAGCTAACTGCCAAAAATAAGCCCCAACCCACCCTGGCTGCTGCGCTGTGCCATGGGAACAATATTGTGCATGTGATCAGATTCAGCAGGACACAAGCAGCCTAAGGGTCTTTTTACATTTGGCTTGAAAAGGCTAAAAATAGACCCCAAACCTCATTCTTTTTTTGCACTGCCATCTCCTCTGCCTCTTCCTATTCACTGGCACTTTTACATGCAAAGCAGGATTTGGGATCCAAGGCCCCGTAATTAGACTCCAGCCCAGCAGCTGCAAGTGGAACAGCTGGAGGTGTTATTTTTATGGGTTATTAATTGACTCCATGAAAGCCCAGCAAACAGAGACAGCCAGCGAGCCGCAGCCCACAGCCACATGACAAGGTCTTAGCGACAGGAAAAGATAAAATAAAAGAGAGAACCCAGAATCCTAAAGCCGATTAGTTATAGCAATTTCTCCAAAGCTAAATATAGGAAAAAAATCCTCTCCCATCTTCACTCCGTTGGCGGAGATGAGAAAGCACAAGGAAGGAGATAGAGAGAAATTTCATTTTTCACTTAACCCCATCATGGGTTGCAGAGAGAAATAGCTGCTTTGGTGATGCTCCCAATATTTAAATCCGGCTTCCCTGGCAGCTACACCCTGACCAGCCCTTTCCTTGGCACTGAGAAGTGGAGCTGCACTTGCTCCAGCCTCCCCACGCTGGGCAGGGAAAGCTCCCAGTGCCATCCCAGCACCCAGTCATGTCCAGGCTGGCATAGTCCCCAGTGCCTCTGCTCACCTGCCAAGGTGAGCTTGCAGAGCCTCCCCTCGAAGTGGCTGAACCACCCACACTACCCAAAACCAAAACAAGGGAGAGCCAGGAGACCTCCTGCCTCCAGCTCTCCTTCCTCCCTGTCTTTCCTGCAACTGAGACAGACAAGGCTTGGGGACAGGTGAAGCCACTTAGTGCCAGGAGAGAAACCTCCCATCAGGGGCCGGAGTAAGGAAAAGCTTAGAGTTTTGGCAGCAGGAAGGAAACGGACCCGGCTCATCACCTTGGCAAAACTTATTGCACATCTCCTCAGACCTCAGGGAAATAAATAACAGGCAACTCCAGCAGAGATGCTGAGAGGCTGGGAAACCAGCAGAGCATTTCAGATTTATGGGAAATTAATTTAGCTCCAGTCTCGTTCTGGCAGCCAGCAAGGCCCTGTCCCCAAGACAACCCACTCTGCTGGTCTGGGCTGTGGCCTCTTTGTTCAGACCTTCAGCTTAACTTGCCAAAATAAATCACAGTCCTAGGCCAGAGATGGAGCAGCACCTCTCTCTCCCAGCACAGAGGACAGCCAGGGTCCCAGCACTAGGCATCACCTGTGCTGGCAGCCGAAGGGGAAGGGGAGGCAGCAGAAAGGCTGCTGTTCCTTGGAATCTGCTTTGCCAATATCTTGCCAAAACTCAGCCCAACAAAGCCCCCTCCTCATAAGGATGCAGGACAGGGGCTTCAAAAGCATGGATTTCATGCTGATACGTGGCCTGTCCCCAGGCTGGAGGTCCCCACAGGAGCACCAGCTCCACGCAGAACAAATGGCAGAAGTGCCAGGGGCACAGGGACAGCCCAGGTTTCCCAATGGGTCCAGCAGGGCTGAGTACCCAGCTACAGGACTACAGACACATTGCTTTCTCCTCATCCCACCCAGACAATTGCTCTGTGTCTGACAGCACGGGAGCAGCTGTGGGTTTGCACAGTCCCTGTGTCCCCAGGGTGCTACATGGAGCCCTCCCACACTACCTTTAACCCGGGCAGGTGGGCTGCAAACATGCTACAGGAAGGGAACCTGAGTGACCCTGCTCAGGCTTGGGGAGATACATGTTGCTCCTGCATCCACAGGTCTGGCGTTCCCGCATCTCTCCAGGCATTTTTTCCCTAGTAAGTCTCAGTCTCTGCCATCTGTGCTACCATCACACCTCTCCACAAGATCCAAAGCCGTGGTTGCACAGGGATAGACAGCACTTTGGGGACAGCAGAAGGGAGGCTTCTTCGAGGGGGTGTCAGAACCACAGGTGACGTTGCTGGAGAGCAGAGAGCTGCAGGCAGCCCCCAGGGTTGCAAAAGTCTTTGGCCTCCACAGCGTGGGATGGGGATCTGAGAGCAAAGCACATCAAGCGAGCTGAAGAGAGTGACATTTTCCTTGCCAGCTGCTATATCCGTGCCCACACAGCCGGTGGGATGACTCCGTGCAGCTAATGATGCAACGTGATTAGTAAACAGATGATGCATTTGCACCAGGAAGGAAAAAAAAAAAAAGAGGAAGAGGGGAGAAAAAAGGAAGAAAACAAGCCACATTCTGGGCTAGCAGCATGCAGCAGTGAGTTCTTTAAAAATCTGCTGAGGAAGGCACTTGCACAGCACATGGTTTGGGCAGATCAATGAAGCTGCAAAGCGGCCTGGCAGGCACACAAATCCACTTTCTAATGAAATTTACAGCAAGTGGAATTTAGGTCACTACTCGGAAGCATTCAGTTTATTCCAGGCAGCTTTTAAAATATTTAAGAAATAGCTGTCAAATTAAGCCTGCTCACCTCTGGCTGAAAGGTTCAACTTGAAGCCATGGCAGATTTCTTAGCTATGGCTTAAAAATATATATATTCTTAAGGTTTCTTTGATTGCCCCCTCCCTTTGTCATCACAGTGATTGACAGGAACTGCCAAGCAATCCTGGCTCTGGTGGGAGCTGAGAGCCCAAGGGACACTCAGGCTGTGCCCAGCTCAGCCTTGTCCTTCCCCAGGGTCAGGGCAGTGAGACAGCAGATGTGACCTTCCTGCAGCCTGTGCTCTCCCTTCAGCAGAGACCACAGGAATTTATCTGCTGCTGAAGGAAGAGCAGTGCTACAGCCAGACCTAAAAACAGCTCCCGAGGGAGCAGATAAAAGCAGCCTCTTAGCAGAGGTGAACCTTCACTAAAGCTGAGTGATGCTGACTGGAAGGATCTGGGCTGGACTGCTGGTTGCCAGCACTATTCCCAGATGTCACACTCTAAGAGAGCTGTCAGAGCCACCTCAGCAGGTGATGGAGGGAGAGGAAAGGTGGAAACCAGGCAGTTCTCTGGCTGTTTACCCTGCAGAAGTGGCCACAGCCCCAATTCTGCACACTCGCAATTCCTGCACAGATCAGAGCTAAAGTACAGACATCTCCTCTTCTGACAATGCAAAGTTCAACCCTTTGCATAACACACTGACACTGTGAACCAATTCCTGCCCCAGCTCAAGGTCCAGCCAGGCACAGACCTCTCAGCTCTTCCAGCCTCAGCATAAACCAGGAGCAGAGAGGGGAGAGCAGAAGGCAGCCTCGCAGCAGGGCTGGGCTCCCAGCGTGGGGCTGGTTCCTGGCCAGCTTTCAAGGACTGACCCAGTAAAGGAGCACTGTGGCCTCGTGGTTACAGGGGCTGAGGGTTTAGTGGGAGGGGAGAGGCCACAGCCACAGCAAGGCACTTGCTGGGACGTGCTCTGAAGGACAAAGAGGTTTTCTTCCCCATTGCTCACCAACTTGCCCTACTTTGGCAGCTGCCTGCTGCAGCCCAGGCATCTGCCCTGCCCACAGGGAACCTGTTCCCTTTCCACAGGGTCTGACTGGATCCCAGCCTGGCCCCAGTGCTTGGGATTTGGCCTGCCTGCAGTTCAGGTAAAACACAAGTGCCCATGCAAACACCTCTGCCTCTTTCCTTGTTATTTTTGAGCTGCACACATAAATATCCATTTCATGCTCAGCTGATGGAGGATTTGCTTGGCTGGGTTATGACCCTGGCTGGGGCTCCACAGCTGGCTTTGTACCAGGATCTGGCACCGGAGGACACAGTCGGTCCCTGACCTACCTCCCACAGTCACTCTTGGCCGTGGATGAGCACACCAGGATGCAAGTGCTGAGCACCACTGCTGCACCACCCACCACGGCCCCGGGGGGCTTTTCTTCCTGCTCTGCCTTGCAGGATACTGTCAGGCACAGCAAAAGCCAGGCATGGAGAGGGATGAGCAGGGACCAGTGTGCAGAGAAAACACCATCCCTGCACAGCTCCACAAGCCTTGCTTTCCTCCCCTGCTGGCACTGCCCTCTCCAAATGGCTCAGCTTTGACCTCGGGTTAATTCACACCAGTGCCCATTCAGCCAGATCACCCCGTTGGCAACAACCCCCCTCGGATGGAGAATCCCACAGGCAGGCTCAGGGCACTGGTGGTCCCGGTGGCCTCCCTGCCCCAAATCTAGGACCTGTCCCCAGGTGGAAGGAAAGGGAACTTGGCATGTGCAAGTTATCCCTCCGAGCAGCCTCTCCCAGGTACCCATGCTGGAGGTGGGCACTAACTGATCAAACCCACGGCTGACCTGCCTCCCCCTGCTCACAGACGCTGCCTACGAGCAATTCCTGGCTGTCCAGGGCTGGCCTTGTCCCACAGAGCACCCAGAGAGCCCAGCTGGGAATTGTATAATGCACCAGCAGCATGGGCTGCTGCTGAGGCACAGAGCAGGGATGTAATCCCACCACGGCCTCCTGTCTGTGCATCCCATTAAAGGAAAAAAAGTCTCCTGCTTTTCCAGTTGCAGTGAAAGCCAAGGATTCTGCAGAGCTCCACACCCTCTAGTGGAGGTGGGAGCTTGGCACACGGAGATGCTCCCAAATCCTGCAGCACTCCCGAATTCAGTGCAGGATCCAATTCCCCCTACAGCTCCCCAGAGCAGTACTGAGGCACTGCACTCCTCCAGAGTGTGACTACAGGTCTCAGTGCAGCAGCAGCTCTGTGCCTGCCTGCACACACACCTGCAGCATGTTAAGCATCCTTCTACTTCGTTCATGCACAGTAGGAAATATTAAACATGAAGAAAGGAAGAAAGTCAGTTTTGAGAAATGGATTTTATTTATGTTTACTGTCTAGGTAGGTAAATCTGCTTTCTGTAACTACAGGAAAGCTGGAGAGGGACTTTTTACAAGAGCCTGGAGTGATAGAACAAGAGGAATGGCTTCAAACTGACAGAGGGCAGGGTAAGATTGAATGTTAGGAAAAAAATCTTTACTAAGAGAGTGGGGAGGCCCTGGCACAGGTTGCCCGGAGCAACTGTGGCTGCCCCATCTCTGGAAGTGCCCAAGGCCAGGTTGGACAGGGCTTGGAGCAACCTGGAATAGTGGAAAGTGTCCCTGCCCACAGAAGGGGGGTTGGAACTACATGATCTTTCAGGTCCCTTCCAATCCAAACCATTCCTCCTAAAAGACCACACAGGTAAAACCAAACTGCAAGGGCAGCTCTCACCAATCTGCAGAACCATCTCCTGGTCCAGCCACCTGAAAAGAAACAACCAGGATGTTCAGCCAGAGACCTTTGTCCTACACAGACCCATCTCCTCTGGATCAGCGTTAACTGAAGCATTATCCCACCCTCAGCTCTCCACAAAATCCTTCCCAGTAGCATCTCTACCATGAACACTTCCCAGCAGCTCACCAGAGCCAGATCACCCATCTGACAGCAACAAGAAGCAGGAAAAGCACGTTTTATTTTTGGCAAGGAATTTTTGCCAAAGCAATGATCACTCTGGTGCCAGGTTCCCAGCACAGGCCTTCTCCTCTCCCCTTCCCCTGAGCTGACCCCAGCTGAATCCCCCCAACTGCAGGAGAGAAACCAAACAAGTAACAAGAGAGCAAAGTACACAACTTCAACAAAGCCTTCCATTTGCTCAAGTACAGAAACCACCTTATCACTATTTCCTACTGAGTGGGGAACAAAGTTTTGGAACTCAAATACTATCTAGTGATAAATCAGGTGAAAAAAAAAAAAAAGTCTGGACAAACACACCCAAGTTCTGTTTTCCACACCTGAGAGAGGATCAGTTTGATTTTGCTACGTGATTTTCGAAACAAGACTCAGCATCCACTAAAGAATCTAAATCCTGTGTTTCCCTGGATAAGGGGGTGCAGATGTTGTATGCAGTATCATACATGACCATCAAAATGCTTCATGAATGCTCACACCTGTTACTGCACAGGTGAGCCCCAGCACGGAGCCCACCTGGGAGCTGATCTCGGGCACGGGTCAGACTGGCTGGGACGAGGCTGGGCCTGCTGGCCCCACCACCCAGCAGCCCTTCCCCAGCCCACAGACCCCCTGCCCCTGCCCAGGAGGGACACACGGGGCTCACCCGACTCACCTGGTCCTCCCTCCCCTCAGGAATGGCAGGCACCAAGTGCCACCCAACACCCCGCCCATGTCACCCTCAGGGGGGCTGTGGCTTCTCGAGGCCCCGGCAAGGAAATCCTCGTGACAGAAAAACTTCTGTGAAATTCTCAGGAAAAAACAACAGTCCAGTCTGGCTGTTGGTCCTGGAGAACACCCTGCAGCCCCCTCCCCACTGCACAGCTCACCCCCACCACCTCAAGCCCCCTCACTCTGTGCTCCTGCCCCACACCCACACCCTGCTGTGGGCTCCGACACCTCCCCCAGGGAGGAACCACAGCCCAGGGCTGTCCTTGCACAGAACCCCAGCCCTCCTACTGACCCCTCTACACTGCAGCTTCCCCCAGAACCCCATATGCTGCCCCCCAGTACCTCACCACCTCCCCACTGAATCCCAAGCACCGCACCCCTGCAT